TCAATAGTACCAGATCCAGGACAGACCCTGCAAAACCCCACTAGATATGTCCTCCCGGTTTGGCAATGAACCATTGACCCCAAATCAGACTGCAAAACATTCACGGTAGTGATTACTCATAATAGACCTTGTATTTTAAAAGATTAGATATTTTTAGTGTGAACAATTTAATGTTTCTGTTAACTTAATTTTTGTATTGCCTGATATATATGGTTGTAAACTTAATACTATGATAATCTGTGCTTGCTTTTTGTTAATGCTTGCTTTTCTTGGGCTTTTGATAGCTCAAATTCTTTTCTCATCGTACACAACAGAAGCTAATTATGTTGTACATTCTTTGACTATCTCTACCTAACAAGGATTGTTGAACATAATCTCCCAGGGCAGCTAGTTACAGGAAAAATTGCCATAATTCCATTAACAAGTAATACAAATGTTTATCATAGGTTACATACAGTATATACATCCAGTCTATTATTAAATCCCATGGCTGAGTCTGTTTAGAGATACATATCTGAGATGTGAGGCTGCCATACAGTGAGATGTCAAGTAAGGGCTATCAAAATATTGATAAAATTATTTACTATCTGTGAAGCAAAGCTACTTGTTTTCTCTGATCTATCTGGCATTCCAGAGGAAGATACAGGCACTCATATTATAAACAGAAATAGGAAACCAACGTGTAGAATTTCCTTGATTCAAAGTGAACAACAGATACTCCTAGCCTTTTAAAAGTTTGCAACGCCTGTTATTTTCAACTTGATTAGAAAAGGGTTCTGCTCTCAGGGGATCTGGGAAGACAATGTTTAGATTTTGTACATATGTTGCTTTAGATACTGAATGAAAATTATTGGTTTTTTAGAAGGCTCTTCTCCTGCTGGGTACAAGATGTATTTATTATTTATATTATGATGCAAGCCTGTGGCAGCACTGGAGCACTAGGGAAGGGGCTTTCTGCCTCCATCTAACAGTCAACGAAAATAAGAGATACACTGAGTCGAGGTTTTATTTGCGTATTTGTTATCCAACATCCTGTGAACATTTTGGTCCTTTTAGTTAAGATTCAAATGTGCATGTAGGGGTAATAAAAAGGTTAACAAACCTACACTTACTATGTCCTGATGAGATGTCACCATAAGCAAAACCTCAGTTTTGCATGGCTGGAGAGTGGAGTTGGACAAGACAGGGAAGGAGAGGAAAGGGGCTTCTATGTTGTGGTGAAGAGTGAATCCCTGGTGGCAAGGACTCTGCTTCAGGGTCTTCTATGGCACTGAACCCCCACCTCAATTTAATGATCAGCAGTGAATGAACTCTGCTAAGGACCTGGATCTGGCACTGTGATGAGAGCTGATGTAAAAGTGGTGGCAATGAGTAACTCTCCAGCACCCCTAGAGCTATAATCACTATAGCTGGCCTAGATGGGGAAGTCTTATGACCTGGACTTGGCAACATGGCTAGAGAGATGACTTAGAGGCAACAATGCAGCAAGAGAAGATTCAAAGGTGATGGTGCAGAGACAGTAGCAAGGCCTATCTCGATGGAAGTCAGGCAACATTCCCTCCCACCACCACCGACCTGGGGCTGGAGATGGACCTGTCCTACTGCACTCCCATACTCTAGGACATCACTAGTCCTTCTAAATAAGCCACGAGTGGGTTGCAGAATAGGGGAAGGAGAGCAGTGGCATGTGATAGGGACATTTGTCCATCAGATGTTCACACTGGCAGGTAGGAAAACTGAGGCAAACAACTACTGCTAATAATCCTGTGTGGGTGGTGTCTTACTTATTATTCTTATAAACATACTGTTGATTTATTATTGCTGTATATTCCCAAATTAATGCTGTGTTCCTTTCCCCATTAATAAGGCTTTCCTTGTTTAATACACAGACAGTGCTTGCAAAAAGTATTATTATTTAGCATTAGTGTAGAACAGGGGTCGCCAACCTTTCAGAAGCAGTGTGCCGAGTCTTCATTTATTCACTCTGATTTAAGGTTTTGTGTGCCAGTAATACATTTTAACGTTTTTAGAAGATCTCTTTCTAAAAGTCTATAATATATAACTAAACTATTGTTGTATGTAAAGTAAATAAGATTTTAAAAATGTTTAAGAAACTTCATTTAAAATTAAATTAAAATGCAGAGCCCCCCGGACTGGTGGCCAGGACCCGGGCAGTGTGAGTGCCACTGAAAATCAGCTCGCGTGCCGCCTTCGGCACATGTGCCATAGGTTGCCTACCCCTGGTGTAGAACCAAGGAGCCCTTGTTAAAGACCAGGACCCCATTGTGCTAGGCGCTGTACAGATAAAGAACAAAGACACAGTAGCTGTCCCAAAGAGCTTAGAATCTAAGGGTAAAATAAGATACAACAGATGGACACAGAAGAACACAAGGAAACTGAGACAATATTGATCACTATGATAGGCAGTGGCATCAGTGCACTAGCAGCCTAATTGTTGTCAATTTTTTTGTAGACTTTACAGCAGAGAAAAATTTTAAACAAGGTTTTGAAGGTGGATAAAAAAGTAGCTGTGCAGTTGTTTACAGGGAGCTCCTCTGAAGCGTGAAAGGCAGCATGGGAGAAAGCACTAACATGCTTGTTTGAAAATTTAACAAGTGGGCGATGGAGGCTGGCATCCTGGGCCGATCAGATGTTGGAGTCAATATTTCAATAGTGAATGAGAGATAATAGATAGGGTGGGAGTAGGTTGTGAAGGGCAGCCAGGAAAGGTATTGAGTTTTCCCAGGTTTCAATAGTGCCTGTGCTGCTGTAGCTTTCACTGCTATTGTTACTCGAGCTAACTATATCAAAGCTAGCTTGGGTATGTCCTCACATGCTTTGGTCACTCCTCTGATTGCACTATAGACATACAAAATAATTTCTAAAAGTGGGAAAGGGTATGCAGAATTATTATTATTTCCCTGTGTGACTCACATCTAGATCACCTATAGTTTTATTACACTCACAAACTGAGCTGCAGTTAAAAAAATGTTAAATCTAACTTTCAAGTCTGATCCTGTTGGTCGATAATATGTGAATAATCTGATCCATGTGACTAAACTATAATAATTAATAAATAATTTAACAATAATTGCTACTGTTCACTTAGTGCTGTAAATAAGCTGTAAAATGTTACCTCCAAAATAAGATTATATACTAATAATACTACATATCAGAAGAATAACATATAGTTGCTGTTACCAAATTACTTTTATTAAAATCAAGTACAGTCTCCATTTCTTAAATACAGATAGGTAATAGAATATGATGATATAAAGCAGTCAGCCCTCATAAAATATTTTAGTAAAGAAGCAGTCAAGCATAAATGACCATTTTCTCCAGTATTATTTGTGATGTGACAGGTTATCTACATCAAGAGTACAATAAATGAGAATCAGAGCAAGAGTAATAACCCTACCAATAGACCATCAGTTGAATAAACTAGAAGAATGAAATATAGTAATTAAAAGTAAGATAATTAGACTGAAAAAATAACTTGGTTTCTGCTGACTGATGATGTGTTTACTCCAAGAAAGAAACAATCATTACAATATTAATGGTAAAACCTATTAATTCTGTTATGTTTTCCATTTTTTTGCTATGTGAATATTTTGAATCTATCATCTCAGTAAGTAATTGATAGGAGCTCCTCAGGGAGGTGGCACACGGTCTAAATCTGTCTTTATAAGTCAAACATCATTTAAAATGATAAAAGTTCTGATACATGATCAACTTGCAGCAAGTTGCAGCAAACACACAATATTAAAATCAAGACCTTGCTAAAAATTCCCACTTGAAGCCTATTGTGTCTGGAGGGTTCTTTGTGAGAAACAACCACTTGGCAACATGAAAACTCACCAGAAACCCAGTATGGAGCTAAATGATACCGAGGTCCTAAACAGAAAACAGGCACTGAACTGTTATTTCAAAAAAACTGTGATAAAAACAAACAATGCAAGCAATTCACAGAGAACTGTACATGTTCCTCTGAATTCTTTGGACCTCAATCTCAGATCAGTGTACAGGAGTCAGACTTTAACACTGGAACTGGAGGCCCAAAGAAAGTAATACACCTCTACCTCGATATAACGCTGTCCTCGGGAGCCAAAAAATCTTACTGCGTTAAGGTGAAACCGCGTTATATCGAAGTTGTTTTGATCTGCTGGAGTGCGCAGCCCCCCTCCTCCCCGGAGCACTGCTTTACTGCGTTATATCCGAATTCATGTTATATCGGGTCACGTTATATCGGGGTAGAGGTGTAGTTAGAACGTCCCAAGTGGCCAACACCTATCTTAGATCTAACCATGGGACTAGGTTGTTGGGGTTGCAGCTCAGGAATAGGCTACCTAAGAGGCTATGATTGATCACCATACAAAGTACTACCATAGGCCTCCACTACACAGGCACAAATCCACCCGGTATAGTACAGGAGAAATCATTAAGATCTTAGTTTAGATATTTTGAAATGTATTTTGAATGAAAGTTTCAAAATATCTTCTCCCTATGCCTTATGTTTGTTGTCATAAAGGAACAAGGCAGCCAGCAAAGCTTGTACATTTGTGCCCTTCTGAAGTCTGTTGATGCTTTATAAAAAATTAAGCCCTAAAACAGATCCATTAAAAGGTTGTCGTCTGTGTAATGCTGGGAGGCTTGCACCTCTAGGTCACCAGGTTTACATCAAGTTAAGGTCAATTGTGACCAAAACCAGTTAGCATCTAAAGATTGATTAATGATCTGTCTGAAATGAATCGGTTGTTTCAGTCCACTACTTTTTGAAGAGGTGACCCGATCACAAAAATCACCCAGCTGTGTAATGTTGAAATGTAAATACAAGTTGAAAGAACAATCCACTCCTGAGAAAACTCAAAATGGAGAACCACCAAAAAGTGAATCCAGAAGGGGGTACTAAATATAATAAGCCCCTTTTCTACAAACAGATCCCAAGTTCTACAAAATTGTTAGTTTGCATTCATTTGTTTGATTGTATTGCAGAGACTTACCTGTGAGTTGCTTGGGCTATTTTCTGCAAGCATCAATATTCACAAGTTGATTTCTGAGCTGTGAGTCTGTCACATAAGTCATAAGGTATGTTTTATGCTCTGTGATCAGATGACCTAATTTAAAAAAACAGGAAAAAACAGTGAATAAATTAGTGGAGTTTCAATTATTTCAGTAAAAAGATGGAAGAAGAAGCAGACTGAGGGAATTTTAGGAAACTGTAAACCTTTTCAGTTCCTATTTTCTAGAAGGTATTATCTTTTGGATATATATGAGAGCCACAGATTTAAACAGTCACATAGGGCAACTGCAGTTATGTTTGTGAGCAGCCATTTCCTTGTCTGGTTTGCTATTTTCACAGGGCACAAACATATCAGTGCATTCATGGGAATATGACCTTTGTCCTGAACCTTCATGTCAGAAACCTTACTTCAAGGTTGGTCAGACCCAATTTGATTTAGAATTCAACTACACGTTTGCAGAAAAATCATGTTAATTATTCACCCAGCTTCAAATCCAGAAGTGTTTGCCCAGGGCTAGATGATACATTGGAATGAGAGAATGGGAGGTCTGCTGATACAAAGCTCCACACAGCACCAAAAATGCAATGCTGCAGCTTCCTATTGAATTGAATGGCTGCAAATTCCAGCTTCTGCTTTTGTTTCTCTTATCTTGTTATCTTTTCAAGAGCCGGTGTTGTTGGTGTCTGCTCGCTTCTTCCTAGCTAGATGGTGGTGAGAGGAAAACTGCATAAGGGCTTAAAAAGTCCAAAACAATTTAAAAAGTAAGATGGAAATGGGAAGCTGATTATCTGAAGCAAATTTGATTTCCTTCCCTCAACCATAAAAACTGGTCTCCAGAAATAAGCAAGGCAATTCAGACCAGAGCTCTAAAAGAGCCAGTGGTTGAGTATAAATAGGATTCTTGGGAAGAGATCGTTTCTCAACTTGGGGACGGTGCTTAAAACTTTTTAAAAAGGAAAGGAGAACCTGACACAGCACAACAGGCCTGATTTTCAGATATGTTGAGTATCCACAATTCTCAGCATTCACTCACATTCCTGGGATCTCTGAAGACTGGATAGCAGCATTGTGGGATTGCGTAAGGAAGACCAACAGGATGGGTGCAGCTGCTATGCCAATACTTGCAGTTTACACTGGGACTGCTATGGTGGAAATAGACAACATGGTGAATGATTCAGTAGTTAGCAATGGCAACCCTCATGGTGATGTAAACAAATGCTCATGCAATATTTGGAGTAACTTTGTGGATGAACAGGTGCCCTACTAAAGGTACCCTAGGGAAGTCCAAATAGTAGGTAACATGGAAAAATTCTCTTTGTGTCTAAGATGAGCATTTTCTGCCACTGTACTACTACTATTGCAATGGTGGGAGTACTCATTTCAACCAGCTGCTGATGTTTTTACCATCATGACATCTAGGCCTCCTCTGAGCAGGACTAGATGACATGCTAGTTTAAACATCAGCAGCTGGTCAACACTAGCACTCCCACCATTGCTTCCACCAGCCAAATTGCACTACTACTACAGCCACTGTGGGAAATTTGATGGAAAAATGCTTGTGTAGACAAAGCCCCAGTTACGATACAGGAATAATGTGCAGTGAGAAAAACTTCAATGCTCTCACCCATGCAGTATCTGTCCTGTTGAAAAACAGAGCATTCAACATTCTAAGGCAGCTCTCTGGAACATGAAATTTGTTTTCTTGCTTAAAAACATTCTCAACATCTCTATATTAGACAACTGAAGAAAATTATTTGAAACATATTTAAGGAATTATTTTGGAAGTGACACACACGTTAATATACTTGCTAAACATAAAGAGATTTGATATTTTGGGTTTCACCTTCCCTGTTTTCAACTATAGAACATAAGTAGCTAATGTGTACAGAACAGAATACATCCTCAACAATCTTCAAAAAGAGAAGATATCTATTACTCATTCCTGACTAGACTTCTATAGCCAGCTTGGCTCACAAACATTGATATTATGCTGGTATAACAGTGCTTTAAAACATTGAGAACAACATTGCCACTTATAATGTCTGAACTCTATGAAAAATTCAAATTAGCATCTTTCCCACTGCAATAATAACATTCAAGAAGAGCTGTGGGATTAGTTTTAAGATTCCATTAAAATAGTCATTTTTGTTACTATCTCTGGGGTCTTTTAGTTGTCTTTGGATGAATTACAGGTTTCAGAGGGATAGCTGTGTTAGTCTGTATCAGCAAAAACAACGAGGAGTCTTTGTGGCACCTTAGAGACTAACAAATTTATTTGGGCATAAGCTTTCGTGGGCTATATCCCACTTCATCAGATGCATGGAGTGAAAAATACAGTAAGCAGATATAAATATACAGCACATGAAAAGATGGGCATTGCCTTACCAATTGAGGGGGTCAGTGCTAACGAGGCCAATTCAATTCGTGTGGATGTGGCCCATTCCCAACATTTGACAAGAAGGTGTGAGTATCAACAGAGGGGAAATTATTTTTTGTAGTGACCCAGCCACTCCCAGTCTTTATTCAGGCCTAATTTGATGGTGTCTAGTTTGCAAATTAATTCCAGTTCTGCAGTTTCTCACTGAAGTCTGTTTTTGAAGTTTTTTTGTTGAAGAATGGGCACTTTTAAGTCTGTTATTGAGTGTCCAGGGAGATTGTACTTAAAACTACAGTACCCACCTGGGGAAGTGAAGAAACAGATTGACAGAGCCAGAAGGGTACCCAGAAGTCAACCACTACAAGACAGGCCCAACAAAGAAAGTAACAGAACGCCACTAGCCAACACTTACAGCCCCCCGAATAAAACCTCTCCAGTGCATCATCAAGGATCTACAACCTACCCAGAAGGACGATCCCTCACTCTGACAGGCCTTGGGAGACAGGCCAGTCCTTGCTTACAGACAGCCCTCCAACCCGAAGCAAATACTCACCAGCAACTACACACCACACAACAGAAACACTAACCCAGGAACCAATCCCTGCAACAAACCCTGTTGCCAACTCTGTCCGCATATCTATTCAAGGGACATCATCATAGGACCTAACCACATCAGCCACGCCATCAGGGGCTTGTTCACCTGCACATCTATCAATGCCCAAATAAATTTGTTAGTCTCTAAGGTGCCACAAGGACTCCTCTTTGTTTTTGGATGAATTAGTTAATGTTCGTTGAGTGTCTGGAAGATAAAAAGCACTGAATCAGAGCTAAGTATTATTTAAGTACAGTATTAATACATCTTCCCCATAGCAGGTGGAAACATAACTTCCATTGGCCTTAATGCTGTACATAATCAGGAAGCTTGTAGTACTGCTGTTCGGTTTTTTATTTCTTTCTGGGATTAGAGAGAGGACTTCAATCCGTCATCTTTGTCAATCACTGATTTTACTAGTGAATCTAGTCATCATATAATTTTATTGCCTTGTTCTCAAAGGTAGAAAACCAAGAAAACAAGAAATGAAAAAATGATTTAATCAGTTTTATTTGAACTGTTTGGAATATATCTGTACAACTACACAATATTAAAATCAATGAGATTTAAAGAATGGCAAACACAAAAATGATAATAAAACTTACACAAGTTTCTCTTTGTGACATATCTTACGTGCGTTACTCATGAATTTAAAGAAATGCCATAAAAATATTAGTTCAGAAGAAGGTAGCTAACAGCTTTTAGTTCATTGATTAGATCAGTGGTCTCCAAAGTGGGGTGTGCGCACCCCAGGGGGTGCGCAAGAGGATCCTTCAGGTTGCGCAGCAGGAGGAGTGCCGCCGGAGCAGCACCGTTTCGGCACTTCGGGCGGCTTTTTTTTTTTGCTTCGGCAGTTCGGGCGGGAGTCCGAGCAGCTTTTTTTTTGTTTTTGGGTTTTTTTTTTGGAGTAGCAAAAATGGTAGAGCCGGCTCTGTGGCGCGGCAGGGGGTGCGTGCCCAAAATTTTTTTACTGATAGGGGTGGACGATCAAAAAAATTTGGAGACCACTGGATTAGATGACTTGTGTAGACCTATCTCCATTTTCTACACTTTTAAAAGCATATTTAACATTACACTCGTCCTTTTAAATCAAATGACTAGTTTTTATTTAAAAAAATATTTCAAGTCTTTCAAATACTAGATTTTTTAGCACTTTATATGATTTTATGCAACAATATATTCTAGATATCAGTGTATGCATACAAACAAATACACACAATTTCTGTACTCCTATACTATTTCAATTTTCCTTTAGGGACGTATTTCAAGAAAAAGTAGTCTTTTCCTAACAGCCCTATCCACTGTATGTCATTTTTAATCATTTATATTACTGGACTCTTTGGGCATTACCATCACGATCAGGTCTCCTTTGGACTGAGCACTGTATGAAGACAGTTGAAGAGACAACCCTTTCCACAGAGCGCTTAATCCTTCATTCCCGCAATATCCTCAACGTCTGTAAAATGCAAATATGCTATTTGAATAAATGTGAGAGACAGCATAGAAGCAAAGGGAGAAACAATTCTGTCTGAATTTCCAATTTAAGGTCCTAGTTCAACAAAGTACTTCAGCACTTTGCTGATTAGGGATGGTTTGTTGAATCAGAGCCTAACTTTTGTCCACTGTTTCTTACTATTGCCTAGTGTTTGTTCCTTCCACATTAGTCATTCCTCATATAAGTTCAACTATTACTTCTGGCAGTGTTTTGATTCTCATGAAAAAAATGTTAGCTGCACTTCAAGTATTCAAGAAGGAAACTGTTGTCTGTTTGTAAAGCAAAGAAATGCTTAAACGTGAATGTATTTTAGTGACTACTGCACACAAGCACACCATTAATTCAGCCATCACTAGCATCAATATTCAATTAGTGCTCTGGGGAAAACAAATGTTTGTATTGGCTTCAGCCTCAGTACAAACTGATTCTGGCAACAGATCAGAGGAACGTGTGACTTATGAGAAAAGTACTTAAATGGCCTATTGTTAGAGAAGAAAATTTACACATTTATATCTTGTCCTCATAAAATTCAACTCTATGCATTAAGGTTAAGATACCATGAGTCATCTGTTCATCAGTTGGTTATAAACAAAGTAAGCCTGGTAGGACAAATTCTTCTGTAGTTTCAGCTCTGTCTCTCTACAGGAACAGCACTATAATTATTATTTACCCATTCATAGCATCAATTTTACCCTTATTAGCTAAGGATTGCAGATTAGAAAATGATTCTGAAAGTGTAATGATCCCCCAATAATATTTCTAACCTCCTGACAATCACTCCTCAACATGGTGAGAGAGAACAAATTCCCTAGACTTTCATATACTAGAGTTAGTTTCCAGAGCGCTGGGCAAATTCCAACTCACATGATTACATTGTGCTTACTCACATTCCCTCTCCTCAGTTTAAAATGGATATGTTATTCTTCACTTTACCTCCTAAAAATAAATTGTTCAGCAGTGTTTGTGAACAGCTGTCCTATTTCTATCATGAAAAGTGGCTGAATTTCATCTGCAGACAAATAGGTTCTGTAAAACAACTTGGGATCCTTAATAATAATTACAGATAAAAAACCACAATAAAAGAACACAGGATGGACCATGCTCAATTAATGAACAGCTAATAAATATTTGGGTTTATCCTCATTTTTCAGTGTGTGGCCTAAGGCCTTGTTTACTACACACTATTATAACCCTGCTATGAAGACCGAATTATTAATTTTCCTATGGGCTTTTCTAGGCACTCACCACTATGGTACCTGATTGCTTCACAAACATTAATTAATTAATCTTCACAAAGCCCCTGAGGTGAGGGGTTAGGGAAATGTGGAACTGAGGCATGGAGAAATTAAGGCAAAAAGTTTCCACTAATTTTGGGTGCCCAATTTGAGATGCCTAAGACCTGAGTTTTCAGAGTACTTAGCATTATATAGCACTTTATATATTCAAGCACAGCTCCCATTGACTTCAGTTGCAGTTGTGAGTACTCAGCGCTTCTACAAATCCAGCCCCAGGGTCTCAAGTTGGGCACCCACAAAATGAGGAACACATAATTAGTGTCCACCTGTGAAAGGTATGGTTCAATGATTTGCTTGTCATTACACAGGACCTCTATGAAACATGGATAGAATCCAAGTCTCTAGTGCACCATTCAGTTGCCATAACCATAAGACCATTCTTTCTTCTCCTGTGGTCTATTTGCTACAAACCTTTCAACTTCTGCAACAGATGGGGCAGGGGTCCTACAGGCAATAGCCTTCTTTACTGCACAACCCTGGACAGATTCAGCCTGTGCACTGAACAAAGCAGGCATCCTGTGGAAAAACATTATGTGATCATGTAATTGAAGACAATATCACAATGCATACACACAAGTGAGCCACATTAATATTTCATAGGCAACCTTAATTCTGGCTTTTCTTAACTTCTGAGTGCTTAATTTTGCCACCTTAATAATGTTCTTTTAACATAGTTGTGTGAATAATATCGTTTTTAATAAAGCAAATTGTAAAAACAGAAATTCCATCATGTGGCATCGTAATGACAGCCATGTGGGTCACCAGCAGGGTTGGAACCTTTCGATCCACTGCACAGACCTCTTCCACTTGAGCTAATAGACTAACTAATAGCAATATTGGGTGTCATCCTCTATGTGGACCAAGCACTAGAGGGGATCTGATACACACACTTTGCCAGTCACAGATATTTGCTGACAGCAGAGGAATGATGAGACTCAGGAATCTTGGGTTCCATTTCAGGCTTTGGAGGGGAATGTGCTCAGTTGGGACAGATTCTTCTACCCATTTTCCCCCGAGCTTCACCCCTTTTGCCCCACCCCCTCCATCATGTCCAAGTCACGCATCTTCCTTACACCTCACTCCTTGTTCCAATCCCATTTTCCTTGCCTACCCATCCCAGTCTCCACTCTTTAGGCATCTCATCCCAGTCCCAGTCTCCTTGCCCAGCTAGGCCTAGTCTCCCCCACTGGGATCACTCTGAGTCCTAGTCTTCCCTGACCCCCAGTCTTTCTCCCTCCCACACACAGTCCCAGTCTCCTTGCACACCCAGTTCCAGTTCCCCTTTCCGGCTCCTCAGCCAATCTGTCTCTCCCCCTCAGCAGTGGCTTCCAGACCCAATTCTCCTTCCCTGGATTCCTCATGTCAGCCTCCTCTCTCCCACCTCCTTTGCTCCTGGTCCCAGTCTCTTTGTCCAGCCATTCCCAGTTCTCTCCCAGCACTCCAGGTCCTTGTCACATCTGTCTCCTCCTCTTTGCCCTCTTTCCCCACCCCCACTAGTTTGTAGTAACAATCTCTTTATCCAGCTAGTTCCAGTCCTTCTAACTCCCAGCTCTTTGAAGTGAGTGTTCATGACAGAATGGGCACACAGTGTGTGTTTAGAATGTACAGTAATACAATGGTTTTATTCATCTCTTTTTTGTCCCCTCATTTCTGCTTCTGCAGGTATGCCTCTTCTCTCCTGCTCAGTTTGCTATCACTCCACATTATGTGCGCTATGCTGGTTACTGAATGTCACAGTAGCTTTTTACATATATTGTTAAGGAAAATGTGAGTCAGAATAATTCTTTTTTAAAATTAAAAATACAAGTTAATAACTACTCTGCTTAAAGTGAGCAAGAAAGAAACCCTCAGCTAGTTCCTATCCTTAACAGATTGTTTTTTACAGATTCTTTTTGTGTTGTTACTACTTCATTATAATGTGTGTTGCTGTTTGTTATTTAAGCTCTGATTAATTACTTCCATAGTTGGATTGGATGAATATGAGGGCCAAGAGAATTATGGCCTAGGGTCTCTACCTCCCATACTAATCATTAGCGCGTCCCAGACCCTCTCAATATAGTATGGATAAATACTCTCAGAAGGCTCTATACTACTCCCATTAACTGAAGTGAGAGCAGGATCAGGCCCAGCAGGGCTGGCTCCAGGCACCAGCCAACCAAGCACGTGCTTGGGGCGGCACCTTGTAAGGGGCGGCCAATCTTGGGGTGGTGGGGGGCACTTGGGGTTTTTTTTGGTTCGGTGGGGCGGCGCTTGGGGGGGTGGGTTGTTTTGTTTTGGCAGCGTGGCGTGGCGCTGGGGGGGGGGTGTTTCGGCGGCGCGGCACTGGGGGGATGTGTTTCGGCGGCGCAGCACTGGGGGGATGTGTTTCGGTGGGGCGGCGCGGTCCTGGAGGGGGGCGTTACGGCAGAGCAGCGCTCTTTTTTTTTTTTGCTTGGGGAGGCAAAAAAGTTAGGGCCAGCCCTGAGGCCCAGACAGGCTTGCCCAATGAAACACAGTGAATCAGCAGCAGAGCTAGAATAACAGTTCCTGACTCCCAGCACCATACTCAACTTATTTGCTAAAGTGGGATCTCTTTTTTTATTGCAGGTTATTTGAATAGTTAAAACAGCCAATGTTCCATGAGGGCCCCTCTTTGCTGCAGGCATTTTCCATTGTCTCGGGGAATGAGGTGTGTATTCTGTTGTTGTTTTGGCATAGAGTATCAGCCATTGATTTCCAACAAAAATAAACAAGCCATTTGATTTTCTGAGCTGAATATTTAGTACAACATCACTAACTCTTTTCCTCAAAACTTCATATATTCTTTTCCTCATCACACTGCAGCACTAACACGACCAGAGGCACTGACTTTTTAATTTCACCAGGGTCTTGGCCCCAGACCCGACACCCATTCTACGCCCCCCCCCCCAAGGCTCCATCCCACCCCACCTCTTCCCACCCCATTCTGCTCCCTCCCTGAATGTGCTCCGCCCCCCCGCCTCCTGCGTGCCACTGAACCGCTGATCACTGGTGGGCAGAAGGGGGAGAAGCTGATCGGCAGGGCCGTCAGTGGGTGCTGAGCACCCACTATTTTTTTCCCTGTGGGTGCTCCAGCCCTGGAACACCCACAGAGTTGGCACCTATGAACACAATGCAAGAAAAAGAATCTTTCCACGTGATGCACAACTGCCCTGCAATGATGTTGTAGGTCAAGGAAATTAAGTCCAAATATTTTGCTTTGAAGTCAAAAAGAAATGTATTTAATAATACATGAGACCACAGAAAAACAGGAGCGTGGGAAAAATAATGCACAGAGCTCAGGAAAAATAGGAGAAAAAGAATATATACAAAGTTATCATAAGACTAAACTGTTAAATAGGTCAACAGACCGCAAGAACGTTATTTGCTCTTCTTTCCTCTTCAACAAAAGAAGTTGCAGCCAACTGGTATTCTAGAGTTCCCCTTCATCCCACTTAGGACCTCATTGTGTAATCCTTACCCACAAAAGCCATTCCATTTAAGCCAATAGGACTGCTCAGGTAATTACTGTGATGAGTTACCCCCTCCCCCCGTTCTAGGGTACCACCTGATGTACTGGGGTACCACTGAGCCCACTTATTCCACCAGCCTGGGCTCCCTTACACTGGAATGGACCATGGAGTATGAGGGGAAAATACAGGTTCAGTTACTGTGGACTGATCTACATTAGAAATGAAAGTTTACCTACATTGCTCAGGGGTGTGAAAAATCCACACCGCTGAGTGGCATGATTAAGTCAACCTAGCTCCCCAGTGTAGATAGCGCTAGGTTGGAAGAATTCTTCCAGCAACCTAGCTATCGCCTCTTTGGGAGGTGGATTACACTGATGAGAACCCCTCCCATCAGAAGAGCTACAGTGGTGCAACTATGCCAGTGTAGTGTTTTAAGTGTAGCTGTACCCAAATCAACAGTGAGAGAAACATCCTTACCCTTCCCAATTCTGGGCTTCCCTGTGCCTCTACTGTATTAACAAATGAACCAGACTCCCTATGTTTCTTTGTGTTCCCATAACTCTTTGTATATAAACCCTCATGATCCTTTGGTTCATGCAGAAAGTGTTTTGTAACTATAATTCTAGTGCTTTGTATCTATGATTCAAGGGACTCTGTACTTAGGTTGAATTTTAGTGTGTGACCAAATGATGGAATGTGTATAATATTTTTACCCTGACCCTACTGACTCATGGAGAATGTGTCCAGGAAGGGACCACTAATGATTGAGGAGGGATATTTGTTAGGTCTTCAGAGATCGATGAGATGACCACCTACTGAGAAATGTTTTTAGCTCGTTACCAATGCCACAGGCATTTTCTATAACAAGGACTTAGTCACAGATACCTTTAGCTTATTGATTAGGTAAGATGAGATACCATGAGGGGAATTCTATATGTAGATCAGTAATGGGAAAGCAATTCTTCTTTGTCCCAAGTACAACATGAACGGAGGGTAGTTTCTGGGAGTGAGTTAGGGGTGAATCAAGCTGCAAAGTCACTTCTCCAGTCTTCAGATTGGTTTGGTATTGATAGCCTTTCTGTATTAATCTTGACTAAATCTTTGTTTAATAAATTCCAATTGAGCCTGATTATTTGAAGTTTTATTAATAAATCAAAATTGAACCTAACAACTGTGCATATGTCTGGTTTAGTATGGAGCAGAGGCAATCTGTATTTCAAGACTTGTACAGAGCTCAGCAAAATCTCACTACTTAAAAAATAAAGTTCCTCTAGTCTAGAAAATAAACATTGTTATAATGCACGTCCTCAGCAGATTCATTTGCAAAATCACAGCTAAATTCCTGCTGTAAAGGAAGCAAAATATCTGCATCCGTGGAAACCCAAGAGCCTTACATAAAAGCAAAAGAAGGCAAATATCTGTGCTTTAATTAAAGTATAAAATATAATGTTAAACAAACTAACATTACAGAATCTCTTGTAGGATCAGTGCATAATTATAATCATACAGGGAAATTGTCAAATTGAGGTCCGGTAACCTGTTGACAACAACTGTGTTAGTTGATATGATGTTGCAGCACCACGGGAAGCTTGTCGTTTTGGCCTAAATTAAACCAAACACAAGGCAATTTGCCAAGAGCGAATGTGTGGATAAGACAATGAAAAACAAAAGGAGAGAGGGACAGAGCATTCAAAGGCATAAAAAATGACGCAGAAAATGGTTGCAACTTGGATTTCTTTTTCATACATAAAGTGTCTGAGGGAAATAAGTTATGTTAAAATAGATGTTTTCATATTAGTTTCTAAGGGCCTGGCTACATTAGAGAGAAATTTAACTGCTCTAAGTCAATGGGAGAGTGCTCTCCTGTCAGCTTAACTACTGCAGCATCTGTGAACAGCAGAAGCTATGTTGGCGGGAGAAGCTCTCCCACTGACATAGCATTGTTCACACTGGTGCGTATGTTGGCGTAACTTATGTCGCTCAGGGGGGTGATGTATTCAGCCCCCTGAACAACATAAGTTATGCTGACATAAGCTGTTGTGTAGA